TGAAGTGTTTGTGCAAGGAAGAGTAGGCAAATATTGCCAAGTCAAGATGTGCCATGCTGATAGACTCATACCCAAAAAGGCAGAGTGCTGTAAAAAAATCAAAAAGTGCTTCAACAAAGTATTAGTTTAAGGGTGTGCACACTTATGCAACCATATTTTAGTTTTTTATTTTTACTTCTCTCCACATAAAAGATTTCAGTTTGTTGTTCAACTCAGCTGTACAGTTTATAGGTCACATTAAAAAGGTGGAAAAAGTCTTGAAATTGTTTATCTTTGTCTCATTTTTTTACATAACAGAAACCTGACATTTTAACAGGGCTGTGTAGACTTTTTATAACCACTGTATATAGCACTGCCAATTTAATGCAGACACACACACACACACACACATATATATATACACACACACACACATACATATACACATACACACATACATATCTATACACACACATATACATACACACATACACACATATATATCTATACACACACATATACATACATGTACAGTGTGTGTTTGTATATTTTAACTCTCTACTTTCTCCGCCTCCACCCAGTACCTCACCGCCCATGAGATTGCTAACCACGTCAAAAACAAGATTGACACAATTCGTAGGGACTTTGCCACTGCTCAGACACCCACCCCACTTAGCACTCCTCACTCAACCCCCTCAACACTTTGCTCCCTTGACCTCACTACCACCGAAGAGGTCACTAAGATTTTCTCCGATGCCCGCCTCACCACCTGCCCCCTGGACCCTGTCCCCCCACAACTCCTGCGGGTCCCCCTCCTCTTCCATCCTATGCTCCCTCACATCTGAAATCTTTCCCTCTCCACCGGTACCTTCCCCTCCCCTCTAGCACACGCACATCACTCCCATACTTAAGAAACCCTCCCTGGACCCCACCGACCTGAACAACTTAAGACCCATTTTCCTACTGCCATTTACCTCTAAACTCCTAGAACGCTTAGTCTACAATCGCCTGAGCTCCCATCTCACCGACAACAACCTTCTCGACCATATACAGTCCAGCTTCCGCCCCCTACACTCCACCGAAACTGCCCTACTCAAGCTCACCAATGACCTACTAACCGCCAAAACCAATGGCCACTATACTATACTCCTACTACTTGACCTCTTTGCGGCTTTTGACACGGTTGACCACCCCCCTCCTCCTCAAAAAACTGCACTCTCTTGGCCTCAGAGACTCTGCTCCGTCCTGGTTCTTCTATCTATCGCAGCGCTCCGTCAGTGTTACCTATAACGCTGCCTCCTCCTCTTCACTCCCTCTCTCTGTTGGAGTCCCTCAAGGTTCTGTCCTCGGACCCCTCCTCTTCTCCATCTACATCTCCTCCCTTGGCCAATTGATAAACTCCCACGGCTTCAACTACCATCTCTATGCCGATGACACACAAATCTATCGCTCTACCCCTCAGTCTCCAATCGCATCACCAGCCTACTGACATATCAGACTGGATGTCACTCCACTTCCTCAAACTCAATCTTTCCAAAACTGAGCTCTTAGTATTCCCTCCAGCCCGTGCCCCCTCCCCTGACTTCTCCATCAAGGTCAACAACATACTCATCAGTACCACCCCTCACGCCAGGGTACTAAGTGTAATCCTAGACTCCAATCTGTCCTTTCAGCCCCAGGTCCAATCGCTGAAACTCATGTAGACTTCACCTCCGCAACATCTCCAAAATACGACCGTTCCTAACCTCGGAAACCACTAAGCAACTCATCCACTCCCTTATTATATCACGCCTTGACTACTGTAACTCCCTCCTCACTGGCCTACCTCCCATCGCAGGCTATCCCCTCTCTAGTCAATCATGAATGCTGCTGCCAGACTTATTCATCTTACTAACCTCTGTATCTGCCACCCCTCTCTGCCAATCCCTCCACTGGCTTCTAATTTCCCAACGGATAAAATTCAAAACGCTAACACTGATGTATAAAGCCGTTCATAACACTGCCGTACTCTCCACTCCTCGCAAGACCTCCTACTCTCTAGCTCCCTTGTCTCCTCCTCCCATGCCCGTCTCCAGTATTTCTCAAGGGCTTCACCCATCCTCTGGAACTCCCTACCCCAATCTATCAGGCTATTGCCTACTCTGCTCACTTTTAGGCGCACTCTGAAAACCCATCTCTTCAGGGAAGCCTACCCCAACCCCAGCTAATACTGGAATCCTCTACTCTTCCTACCACTCCATCCCCCACAGCTAATTACCTCTTGTACCGCTATCCCCTCCCTCCTAGATTGTAAGCTCCAAGGAGCAGGGCCCTCTAATCCCTCTTGTATGAACTGAACTGTGTTACTGTACTGTCTCCCTCCATAATGTAAAGCGCTGCGCAAACTGTTGCTCCTATATAATAATATTACATTACATATACACACACAATATCGAGTTGGCCCACCTATGGCAGCTATGACACCTTCAACTCTTCTGGGAAGGCTGTCCACAAGGTTTAGGAGTGTGTCTATGGGAATGTTTGACTATTCTTCTAGAAGCACATTTGTGAGGTCAGGCACTGATGTCGGATGAGAAGGCCTGACTCACCGTGTCTGCTCTAATTCATCCCAAAGGTGTTCTATTGGGTTGAGGTCAGGACTCTGTGCAGGCCAGTCAAGTTCCTCCACCCCAAATTCGCTCATCCATGTCTTTATGGACCTTGCTTTGTGCACTGGTGTGCAGTCATGATGGAACAGGAAGAGGCCATCCCCAAACTGTTCCCACAAAGCTGGGAGCATGAAATTATCCAACATGTCTTGGTATGCTGATGCCTCACATAAGAGTTCCCTTCACTGTAACTAATGCAGGCCATAGATGGGGAGAAAAACGGCCGATTTTTCGTCCGAAAATAAAACCGGCCGATTATCTTATCGTTAGTGGACGATTTTGTCGGCCGTTTTTCGTGTATTTTGGACTTTCAGATTATCGGTGATGTTGGAAAATTTTCGAAAAACGCCCGACTTTATCCTCATTGATGGTCAAAAACGAACGATCGTTTTCCGAAAAAGGATCACAAAGGTCACAAAATGACATCATTTCCCGTTATAGGTTACTCATTAATCGGCCGATTTTCGTAATAATTGGTGGTCAGGTAAGTTTTTTAGACCGACCGATAGTTCGTTAATCGGCCGAAAATCTGCCGTTTTTCTCCCCATCTATGGCCTGCATAAGGGGCCAACCACTGAAAAACAACCCCACACCATAATCCCCCCTCCATCAAACTTTACACTTGGCACAATGCAGTCAGGCAAGTACTGTTCTCCTGGCAACTGCAAAACCCAGACACATCCATCATCAGATTGCCAGACAGAGAAGCGTAATTCGTCACTCCAGAGAACACCGTCTCCACTGCTCTAGAGTCCAGCAGTGGTGTGCTTAAGGCTCCGTTCACACCTATGCAGTTTGCTTTTTGTCCATTTTGCAGTGCTTTTCCAGTTCATTTAGCATTTTTCTACATGCGCTTTTGATGCGTTATACCATGTTTCGTTCAAGTTTTAGTTTTTGCTTTAATAGTGGATTTTTTTTTTTACTGGGCAGAATAAAAATGCAAAGCGTGGCAAAAATGCACTACCATGCATTTCAGAAGATTCTCAATTGAACTCTATTGTAGCAAAAACACTGCTTTTTGCCTTTAAAAAAGTTCCTGACCCTTTTCAAAAACGAAGCACCTCAATAAAGCATAGATGTGAACATGTTCCATAGGAAACCATGGTAAATGGACTGTAGTGCATTTCTACAAAAAGCACAAAAAAAAAAACGCATTGGTGTGAACAAAGCCTTACCCCACTGCATCCGACGCTTTGCATTGCACTCGGTGATGTAAGGATTGGATGCAGCTGCTCGGCCAGGGAAACCCATTCCATGAAGCTCTCTATGCACTGTTGTGCGAATCTGAAGACCACACGAATGTTGGAGGTCTTTAGCTATTGATTCTGCAGATAGTTGGTGACATCTGCACACTGTGCACTTCAGCATGCACTGACCCCGCTCTGTCATTTTCCGTGGCCTACCACTTGGTGGCTGAGTTGCTGTTGTTCCCAGTTGCTTCCACTTTGTTATAATACCACTAACAGTTGACCGTGGAATATTTATTAGCAAGGAAATTTCATGGACGGATTTATTGCACAGGTGGCAACCTATCATGGTACCACGCTTGAATTCACAGAGCTCCTGAGAGCGATCCATTCTTTCACAAATGTTTGTAGAAGCAGTCTGCATGCCTAGATGCTTGATTTTATACACCTGTGGCCATGGAGGTGAATGGAGCACCTGAATCCAATGATTTGGAGGGGTGTCCCAATACTTTTGGCAATATAGTGTGTGTATGTATATATATATTTCTTGTACATTCACATCAGTCCCTGCCCCATGGAGCTTAGATTCTATACTAGGGACAATTTAGACAGGAGCCAATTAACCTACCAATGTGTTTTTGGAGTGTGGGAGTACCCAAAGGAAATGGGAGATCCCCCTATTTGTCCTGTTACCATTGAAAGTTAAAGTCAAAGAAAAAAAAACCCACCACAAATATGGGGCTGTCCCCAGAACAGGAAAAGTGGGGATATCTTCCAATGAGAACAAAAGTTCTGGTGACACCTCCGCAAGTTCCTCATTTTGGAGGGATTTCCTCTCACTTCCTGTTTTGGCTGAGACAGGAAGTTTATGGGAAATCTCTGCAATGGGACACAAATGGCAAAAAAGAAATCTTACAGGGGTCATACTGCTTATTCCACCCAAAATGAAAAACAAGTTTGCTTTAGGTGTACATTAATGGCAATTCATTGTAAACTGTGCAGTCCTGTAGCTCAGTGAACACAAGCAATAAATCAGATCTGTGGTCAGGATTCACATTCAGGTAGATGTCAGCTGCACTCATAAATGAATGGCCTCAATGCAAATGACCATGAGGAAGACTACTGAATGGACACTACATACTCCATGCAGACATGACGAGGCACTGCTGACGCGCCACCCTCTTACCTGAGCCGTACCGGACATCATGTGAGTGAAGACGGACATTGTGCTTGGTATTGAGCAGCTTCACCGCCGAGCCACATGTCACCACAGAGAGCTCAGAAGCGAAGCTCTGTGGAAGCAACAAGGGGGTGATGAAGAGCAGGAGAGAGCCTGCTCCTTCCTGTGCCTTCATCATCGCTCTCGCCGGCAGGGAGCACGCAAACGTAGGCAGGCTACCCCGGAAGTGCAACTCCCGATCTCTCACCCATTGGAAACCCTGATGTCCGATGCCGCCATCTTGGTTACTGGCAAAACAAGCTGGAGTAGCCACCGAGTTATTCGTTATGTTTTTAATTAAACGGCGACTTCATTATAACAAGAAAGTGTCTGTCACTGTAAATAGAACGTTGATAATTATGCATTTTAACCAAATAATCGACCAGTCTTGGTCCGCTGTAGTTGCACAACCTATGGAAAGCAACATGCTATCTATATCTGCGTTTTTCTTTACCGAGTAGGGTTTGTTTACCACGACATGCCATCAGTTACGCAACTTACAACTACATGCAGGGCGCATGCTCCAAAGGAGCGTAGACGATAGTGCTTCTAGGGTAGCCACGCCTTTGCGCATACGTTGTGGAAACTCCGGCCAGTGGTCAGGTGGGGGGCGCTTGCGCAGTACGGGGGAAGTGACGTCTACTGGGTACCTCAGTCTTCTCCCTTCCGCTAGTATCTGGAAGCGGGGCCCTCCGTTTTTATTCGGCTGTACACAAGATCCGAGCGAAGGAGCAGACGCCTGAGCAGCTGAGGTGAGTCCCTCTTCTCCTGTACTGCCCCGCTTCCTCTTCCTGAGATGTGAGACTCGGGGCCAGAGAACGGTGTTATGTTCTGCTGGTGAGGCCCGGACACAGCAGTACGGCTCAGGCTCTGACTGGCGAATAGACGCCCATGGGGCTCCCCTGCTCTTATGGGAAGCTCATTCGGTCATCTCCTTCTCTGGTAAGGGTGAAGGAGGGAACGTCTCTCTGCGGATCGGCACACACGTCTCAGTGAGGCTGGCATTCAGTTCATGTGTTCCTGAGAGCACGACTAAAGCTGGGACGGATTTTACCGTCATTTGGTAGACCGGAACCTCACCTTAAGAGGAAACCTCCGCTGATCCTTCCCCTCCTTTTGTACATTAGGGCCCCCCTTTTTTTTTTTAGGGAGCTGGTACCAGATCTGGCAGGTACCCACTCTAACGTCCGCTGGAATCACCTTCCCCATTGTCCCTGTTCACAACCTCCTGGGGTGGACTGACAGCTCATGGGGCCCCTGTCTCCTTGCCCACACTCAAAAAAGCCTATGAAAAAGGTACCAGGGGCATCTCATGGGGCCCCCTACTGACCCCGGGCCCTTGGGCAGTGCCCGAGTTTCCAAATGGTCAGTCCGCCCCTAGATGCATCACAGGTCCCAAGAGGCGACGGGTCCATTCACAGAGCCCAGCGTATGGCTCACACATGTGTAGTGGAAAGCCAGCCATGGAAGTGCAAGGAGTCACAGCTGGCTTCTTACATTAAACATGGTGGCACCAGGGGCCCATAGACCATCAAAGAACCAGCCCAGCTGAGGACAGTTCTGGATTCCCGGACTGGCAATTGTCTTTATATTGAAAGTCAGCATTTGTAGCTGCTGACTTGTTTCCCGGGGGGGGGGAAGATTCTCATTAACTTCAGAAAATGTCCCAGCGGTAGTACCGCCCCCATATACCTACCTTGAGTCCTCTCTTGAGCCAGCACTGTGCTCATCCTCAGTGGCACTGGTCTTTGTTCTTCTTCTCAAAGGACACAGAGGCAGCAGCAGGAGCCGTTGGCTGCCCCTGTAAAGCGGAACATCACCCTCTCAATCAACACTAACTATGTTTAATCCTTATCCAGCTAGCAATAGTAAATAGGAAGGTATATTAAACTTTTTTTTTTTTTTCATTTCTTCAGTTACTTCCTGGTTCCATGCCTAGGCAAATTGTCATACATTCCAGGAGTCTTCAGGAAAGGAGGGAGGGTTCTTAACTCAGCCTATCCCTGAGCTGAGGGCAGATGGATTCTAGGAAGTACATGAATCTGCCCTCAAGCAAGATGGCCATTGCCAGAAATGCCATGGGGTGTTTTTCTAAATATTTTCTCAGCAAAGTAAAGCATGGAGCCATGGATGGATAGCAGAGTTCGCTTTGAATAATAAAAATATATTAAATCGCCTTTTTAGTTTGTGGTTTTCAGATGCAGTTCCACATTAAGGGCTTCCAGCGGATGCGTGAAATGCGTAAAGGCTGAGCTGTTTATGTTGGGGTCTTTTTGGTCACTTGGTCATTTAAGTGTATCTTATAGTTTTTATCCATTGAAGTTTAATAAACATACTACACTATGCATCTTCTATCTTCTGGGCTTTCTTAATTGTTTATATTCGGTGAATGAGAAACATTAGGGATTCCTAAGAGAAGATTGTCTGAAGGTCTTTGAGAGTTTGGATCCAAGTTTGAGCTTTGTATTCTGAATTAACTATATTGGTCTGGTGAGTGCATCATTTATCCACACGTGGCGGAGCTCAATGGATTCTAAAGGAGCAATTGGCACTCTTTTTTTTAATGGACAGTGATTGGGAACTCACATTGATTTCTGGACTTTATGGCTACATGTGCATTTTTATTTATGATATGTTTATGGAGTTATTTATTGTGAATCACTTCTTATTCCACAAGGCCAGCACCTTCCTTTTGTTTAGTTTTCAGTTTGTCAGTGTACCGAAATCTTCTAGTACATTTAATACTCCCCTCTCCCAGTTTAATAGTGCTGCTGTCCTCTGTGTGCTCCTTCATCCAGAGTGGAGGCACTCTAATACAACAAGTGTGTTAGTGGCCAGATCACCAGGTGAAATAGGAGGGAAAAGGCCTAAAATATAACTAATGCAGCCACCACATCTTATGATTGTTAAGCTGCAATATATTACATTTTTGGTTTGGGGTTTAATACCGCTTTAAAGTGATTATAAAGGCTTGTTTTTTGTTAAGAAAAGATAACAAACATGTCATACTTACCTGCTCTACAATGGTTTTGCACAGAACAGCCTGGATCCTCCTCTTCTCGTGTCCCCCGCTGGCGCTCCTGACCACTCCCTCCTGTCGAGTGCCCCCACAGCAAGAAGCTTGCATGGGGGCACCTGCTGCTCCATGTGTCCATTCACACACAGAGCCCCGGCTCGCCACCCCCCCCCTTTTCTCATTGGCTCACTGGTTATGATTGATAGCAGTGGGAGCCAATGGCTCCCACTTCTGTCTCAGTCAATGAGAAGAGGGAGTGTTATTATAAAAAGTGTAAATAGCAGTGTTATTTTAAAGAGTGCACATTTTATTTAGTAATTTGTCCTGTTTAAAATGACACTAAAATTATAATTCTGGTACAAAGCATTGCAAAGTTATTTTGTGTGTTATAAAGTGGGCTTTTTTTTCTATATTGCGGTTTTTGTTTTTTTTTAATATGAAATTTCTAAATATATGTTAACCATTTCCCAACTGCTCTAGAGCAGAAATACTGCTACAGGGCGGCATGGGTGCGCAAAATCACATATATATATCACATATATATATGATTTTGCATTTCCGGGTAGGGGGGGGCGCGCGCCTACCCACCATTTGGTCTCGGCCGGTGATTACCGAGGATCTCCGTCAGGGAGAACTGTTTTGTTTATTAACAGTTCTCCTCCCTGTCAACTCAGGCACAGCACAGCTATCCAAAGCAATGTGCTTACAGTGAAGAACACAGACACCACCCCATAGTATAAAACACCCAGCACACAGTTAACCCTTTGATTGCCCCTCATGTTAACCCCTTCCTGCCCAGTGCCATTAGTAGTGTCAGTGCTTTTTTTTTTTTTTAGCACTGATCACTGTATTGGTGTCACTGGGGATGTCCGCGACACCAAGTCAGTTCCCCGCAGTGTCAGAATGTCCGATGCAGTCCTGCTATAACTCACTGATCGCCACCATTACTAGTAAAAATAAAAACCTCAGTATATATACTACCATTTGTAAATGCTATAGCTTTCACGTAAACCAATTAATTTATACATTTTTGGGATATTTTTTTTTAGCAAAGACATGTAGCAGAATACATTTTGGCAAAAATATCTTTTTTTTTTTTTTCTTAAAATTGTCGGCCTTTTTTTTATTGCACGCAAAATAAAGAATACCACTGAAGGGAAGCTCAATTCTTTGGAAAAAAAGTATGTACATTTCATTTGGGTGCAGTGTTTCATGACCATGCAATTGTCAGTTAAAGTAACACAGCACTGTAATGCAAAAAATGGCCTGGTCAGGAAGGGGGTAAATCCTCAGGAGGGCAAGTGGTTAAAGGTTTAAAAATATTAATGAACAAAATAAACAAATACAAAAAAGTTTTAATATGATTAGTTAATAAAAATAGAAATAAATAAAATCATCATAAAACTAATATTGAATGGAGAAGAATGAGTTAAAAAAACAAAAGCTGTTTTTTTTTAACTTGTGAGTTTGCTTTAAAGTGGAGTTCCAGCTGAAAAAAAAGCAGCTACAAAAACTGTAGCTGCTGACTTTTAACCACTAGCCTACAGGGCACTTATACCCCCTTCCTGCCCAGGCCAGTTTCCAGCTTTCAGTGCTGTTGCACTTTGACAATTGCATGGTCATGCAACACTGTACCCATATGAAATTTTTATCTTTTTTTTTTGTGACAGACAGAGCTTTATTTTGGTGGTATTTAATCACCTCTGGGTTTTTTTTCTCTTAAACAAACCAAAAACCACTGAAAATTTTGAAATAAAAAAAAAAATGTTTTTCTTAGTTTTTGTTTTAAAATTTTGTAAATTAGTGATTTTTTTTCTCCTTCACTGATATGCGCTAATGAGGCTGCAGTGATGGGCACTGATAGGTGGCACTGATAAGGAGGCACTGGTAGGTGGTACTGATGGGCATTGACAGACATCACTGATGGGCATTGAAAGGCAGCACTCATATATGGCACTGATAGGTGGCACTGACTGGCACTGTTAGGTGGCGCTGATAGGCGGCACTGATTGGCAGCACTGATAGGCGGCACTGACTGGCATTGATGGGTGACACTGAAAGGCAGCTCAGATGGGCACTGATATATGGCATTGATGTGCACTGGTAGGCACTGAAATGTGGCATTGATGTGACACTGATGGGCACTGACAGGTGGCATGGATGAGCACTGACAGCTAGCACTGATGGACACTGACAGGTGGCACTGCTGGGGCTACACAGATCATCAGGGCACACTGATCATAAGTGCCCTGATGATCTGTGTACATATCCCTCCGAGGAATGCTGATTACCGGCTCTCCTCTCCTCACGACCTGTCTGCGTGACAGCTCGTGGGGAGAGAAATGCCGATAACCGGCATTTCCCTATTTACATGCGATCAGCTGTGATTGGACACAGCTGATCACATGACTGAGCCGACATCTTCGGCTCTTTCTGTTGATCGGTAATCCGTTGTGTCAGAGGGACACAGCGCACCGCCGATCGCCGCGCTGTGCGCTCCTGGAGCTGCGCATGCACGGTTAGAATGGGGGGACGCTATATGACGTCCTCCCAGAACGAGACAACTACCTTGCGCCTGTCATTGTCCTGTATGGCGGGGGGGAGGCGGTTAAAATACAGCCACTTACTTGTCCCCCAGTTCAGCGGTGTCCTCACCATGGCTGGTTTCACCGGCCGTCTTTCTCTCCCTGGCGCCGGCATCTTTAGAGTGGGCACCCGGCTGTGCCAGCTTGCGGTTTCACGGCTGGGTGCCCACTGCACATGCGCGATAATTGATGCGCTTTGTGAATGGCCACGTAGTCTTCTCTGGGACCTGTCACGTGTCCCAGAAGACTACCGGGAGGGAGGGACAACTTCCGCTTTCGATTGCATAAGCGATCACATCGGAAGTGGGAGCAGGTACCTGTCAAATTTGGTTACCCGTTTCCCAAAGTTGCCAATTCTTAATGGGGAGCGGTGGACAAAGCATTAAAACGTAACTTCCCCTTTTGGATGGAGCTCTGCTTTAACTGACTTCATCTACAGATTGAATTTCATCCTTTTGATCTATAGATGAATAAACAGATACAAAATGAAACATTGTTTCCTTTGAGCAATGATGTTGATAAAATTTGCCAGACTTCTTTTCTGTGACAGCTCCAACTATCAGAACTTTCTCTGTGTACTGGGCAATGTTGCTTTGATTAATCAGAACTGCATTGCCCAGTGCCGTGACAGGGGAGATCCAGGCAGCAGAGCAGAAGGACTGCACTTGTTACAAGCACCCTGTGATGACATTTTTATGGGCGTGTCTACGTCCAGAGTCTGCACCACCTACTTTCAGGTGGAGTTGTACCAAAATAATAATATTCACGTTACCCGTCAGTGGTCCTAATTTTATGATTGTTGTGTGTGTATGTGTATATATATATTATTATTTTTTTATTTTTTTTTATGTTCAGTTAAAGTAAAATTAAAATGCTGTTCGGACACATCCAGGAGCTAAGGAATATACTTGGCAAGTAATTGCTGGCAAGTAAAAGGACTTACCAGCAACAATTCTAACCTTGCCAACATTTTGTTTCTTTGTTATTGTTTTGCGACTCAGCAGGCAGGCTGGTTATTAAATGAGATGATATTGGCAAGTCTATGAGTGAGTAAGCAGCTGGACCTAAGTGGACCACACATCTGTGAAGCTTAGTGGGCTGTACTTTGTACAAGTGATACCCTGGTTGTAAAAACAAATAAAAAGCACATCTGCAATTTAATTTGTAGCTAGTGTACTTCAAAACTCTGTTGTTGATTATCTTTACTGGCTAGAAGGAGCATATCGTCTACAGGAGCTGGACAAAATTATGGAAACACCAGGTTAAAGAACAAAAATCATTACCTAATATGGTGTTGCACAGCATTTGGCATCCAAGACAGTCTAAATTCTTCTGGAAATTGACAAATCGAAGTCTTGGATGGTGGATAATGGAATCTGACACCACTCTTCATACAAATAATGTTTCCAGAGGCGGAAAACGAGCAAGAAACTTGTTCTCCAGAATTGACCATAGTGGCACTATGACATTGAGATTGGGGACTGTGGTGCCTAGGGAAGGTGCAAGACTTTGTCTGCAGGCTTGTCAAACCATGATTTGACAACATCAGCTGTGTGAATCGGAGCATTATATTCTTGGAAAATGTCTGTCTTCGGGAAACCATGTCTGCACCATGGGGTGCACATGATCAGCTAAAATTGGGTAGGTAGTCATTGGCAGTGACTCTACCTTTCAAGGTGATGATGGGGCCTACAGAATACCAAGATATGGCTGCCCAAACCATGATTGTGTGCCACCACCATGCTTTACCATTGGCACAAAACAGTCCTGTTCCTAAGCTTAGGATGATGTTCACCACATGTAAGCACGTCCAGTGGTTGGGAGCAGTGTGAAGCTCGATTCATCGAACCATATTACAGTCTTCCATTAATCAATAGTCCATGATTTAAGGGTGTTGCACCACTCTTCTGAGCATTAATATGGGTCACTAGTGGTTTGGCAATTGCAGCTCGCCCGTGAATGTTTTGCTTATGGAGTTCCCTCCACACAGTTTTTTGTGGTCACGGCTTTGGAATTGACTCTGCAGTCACTTTTGCAGCAGTTGTTTTTTTATTCCGGGTCACAATTCTACACAATGTCCTTTTTGTCTCTTTTCGGTCAGCTGAGTATATCAGCTACGCTTGTGCTTATCAGGCGACGGTTTCCCAGAAACTGTATGTCGTCATAACCTTTGATAAACCCCCGCGACACCGCAAATAGGCCATTTTGGTCACAGAAGCACCAGCTAAGTGTGCTCCAACAACTTGCCCTCTTTAAAGCTCAGTAAGCTCTGACATAACTCCTTTACCAGCAGCGTATATGCGGTGAATGACGAAATTGAGGCTGCCCACCTCTTAGCTGAAGGTGTCTCAATGCACAGCGGAAGCAAAAGAATGTCACATCACTTCCACTTTCAAACATGTCGTCACTTATCACACCTGCAAATCAGGTAGTGTTTCCATGTTTTAGTCCAACCCCTGTAGATTGTGCCTTTTTCCCTGGATGTGTGCCCTTTTTTTTTTTTTGGTAGTGTGGTCCATTCTCATTTACTGTGGTACATTTTACTTCAAAAGCCCAATGCCTACCCTCTCAACCTTCATAGCAAGCCATAGCATTTACCTAGAAATCTGCAACAAGTGTACACCAACATAGTTCATTGCTGTGAACTGAAACAATAAGGTATAAGGTAATTTGCCTTGTCTGTGCGTCAGGACTGCATTGGACAGTAGAATAGAAAGGCTTATTCCCCTTACGTTTTGCAGGAAAATCTTCATTTACCCATGAAATGAGTGGACTTGTCATTCTAGATGTTCAGTAGTAATGCACTTTGCTGGTAGTTTTAGTTTGCATAGTTTCTTTGCTGCCCTTATTTGACTGCAGTATAAAAATGGTGGGTGCTTGGTTTTTTGAATATGAAGACAGATATAAAAGACCCTAATTTGTTCCACTTATGTATTCTTTACAATACTTGTATTTGTTTTGAGAAGTGCGTCTTTGTTCTAGCCTCCTTTAGTTCTCTGCTCATCAGGAGAGTGGAAAAGGCTTCTAAGCCTTACCCACTTCATCCAAAACTAGAAACAAATTAGGTTATTGGTGTACATTTTCAGCTTCCCGTCTGGTGACGTACTGGTACGTTGTTGGATTGGAAGGGTGATATCTCGATCATAGCTGCAGATACAACAGTGATTGAGATCATTTTTAGGGGCCTGCAATTCCTTTCAATGTTAAAGCGGAGTTCCACCCAAAAGTTCAAGCTCCACTTGTTTGCCTCCTCTCCCCTTCCACTGCCATATTTGGAACCTTTTGGGGGTACCCGCTCCCTCTTCTGGCGAAGTGAGCCGGAAGTTCGACACCACCCCATTTACTCCCGCTGCCTCCTGGGAACCTTCACAGGTCCCAGACAGCCAGACCAATCAGGATGCACAGCGCGACTCTCTCATGCACAGTGGGCACCCGGCTGTGAAGCTGCAAACTGTCACAGCCTGGTGCCCACAGTTGATGGTACCGGGGAGAGTATAAGGAGAGAATGGATAGCGCGGGTGAGCACGTCACTGGACCCTGGGACAGGTGAGTGTGTGTTTACTTTAAAAGTCAGCAGCTACAGTTTTTGTAGTTGCTGACTTGTTATAAACATAAAAACGTCTGGGTACTCCACTTTAAAGTAATCCTAGTGGCCAAGGAGCTGCTGGATTACTTTTGCAGGCAGCGGAAAGGGTCCCACCTCCCTCACGCTCCTGCCTCCTCTCCCTTGCAATTGGGGAGCCCAGTAAGGATGCATTTGACAGCATCTGGTTCCTGGGACGCAATGAGGTTTTCGTCATTTTTCCAGCTTTAGTCTCATGTATACAAGCTGTTATAAGACTTGATCTGGCATCTGATCAAGCGGATTTTTAGTTTAATCAGATGCTTTGGAGGTCAGAGGAGAGAATGGGGTGTAATAGACCCCAGATCTCTCCATGAAGAGGACCTGTCATGGCCCATGCTGTTGCAAGGGATATTGTTACTTCCTTCCGATTTAGCAATAAAAGAGGAAAAAATGTAAAGATACAGTGTACACAATTTTTAACTAAAGAACAATAAAAAAAAAAATGAAAGCGCCCTGTGCTGATGCTGAAATGTAAATGCAGACTTGGGTCCCGTATACATATGTAACCGGCTATCGTACTACACGTGTTGGGTATCACCATGAATGTCAGAGAGGGAAATAGTTTTAGCTCCAGACCTCCTCTGTGACTTTAAACTTGTAACTTATATAGGCTTTTAAAGCTTCGCCTATGGAGATTTTTATGCATCATAGTGTTGTGCTGCTCTACAGAAAGACACAATTTTAAAGTGTGACATGTTTGGTATATATTGTCTCGGCATAACATTATCTTTTTATACTTTAACAAATGATTGGGTATTGTGTTTTTGTGCATTAAAGGGGAAGTATAGCCAAAGCTGTTCGTTCTGCACTCCTGTGAACCGTTTTCAGCTGTCAGCAGGCTAACATCACAGAGCTGGTCCTGGCTGGGGAAGGATCGTGATGATATGGACAGGATCCACCCAGGAGCCTGGACCGGCACCTGGCTCAGCCTCTCAGTGAGCCGCTGAGAGCCTGAGCCAGCCGCTCACACTCCCTCCACAGCTCCGTATTACAATGAATGCTGGTGCCGCAAAAGGATTTAGGACTTCTTTACCCGCATTTCTGTGGGTAGGGCAGGCCATTGAATCGTGTCGCACTGTGGTGAACCTAGCCTCATTGTAAACAAACAGTGAGAGGGAAACAGGATACAGAAAAAACTATATCTGGTTTAGAAAGAGGAACAGAAACATTAAGTATTATGTTAGTAGTTAAACATAGAAATCTGGCATGTTAAATCAGCGTTTTTCAACCACTGTGCCGCGGCACACTAGTGTGCCGTGAGATATTGTCTGGTGTGCCGTGGGAAAAATTCCAATTTCATCTGTAACATGTGGCTTCGGCTCACAAA